AGTGGCGTGTCCGAGGCCGGTCGTCGCCCGCGGCAGCCAGGTCGGAAGGCAGAGTCGCCAGCGCCAGGTCTGCCACCGGAAGGCTCGGCGCGGCAGCTGGTTCCCGACATGGAATTCCACAGACGGCGGCGGCTGCACCGTGTGCCACGACTTTGCCGGCGAGTTCTAAGCAAAACTGCAGCTCGTCCGCTTCCAATGCCGGCGAACTCGTCTTCTGCGGACCGCTGATTGCCGCAAAGGCCGGTTTCATTACTGGCCTCGGTCGCTTGCTGCACACGCGCGCGTGCTCCCCGATTTGCAACAGCTCGGCCAGCTGGCCGCAGTTCTCGCAATTCACACAATGCTCTGGATGGTGCCGTCTCACGTGCTGCGACACGTAATTCCGATACGACACCCACACTGCAAAACTAGACATGGAACCAACTCCGGCAGAAAGCTACGGGGAAGGGAGACCAACGGGGAGGGGAGGGGAGGGAGTCAGCCTACCAGTAAGCCCAAGATTATTGCAGTACTCGCACAAGCAGTACTTTTTGACAGGCTGTCTTGGGGGACGGAAAACGAGAATTTGTCTATTCTTCCGTCTTGTGCCTGCAACTATGTTCCCTGGTAACTTAAGAATGCCGCCGTCGTGCACAAGGTACATATACCAGTTCCCGTCTTCATAAAACGGCTTGGATGTATCTGAAGCCTGGGCGTCGTCAGCGGGGGACTTGAGTAAAGTCGAGAGTGGCTTTGAAGGCACCTCTTCTTGCTGAACTGGAGTATTAGTATATGCTATGGGGTCGTCTGGAAGCGGTTCTGTTTTGACTCGAGCAAAAACTGGATCATCCATTATCATTCATTCCGCTGCACACGCGTGTGCATCATTTTTGGAGTTGCCAATTTTACGCTTGAGAACGCGCCAGGCATAATGAATTTTGGTCTGAATATAGGGCGAACCGTCATACTTTGGCGGTGAAGGCTGGTTTGCGATCATTAAATCTCGATATCGTTTTGACAAATCTTCCTTCGTAATATTTTCCATTGATTGTAGACCTATTATGGCTAGTGCTTCCTCGCTCGTCAGAATCTGAGGAAGTCCGAAGTGCCTGCTTTGTTTCTCCGACTTTCCATTGAGCTGGTGAAGCTTTGTCTTAGACAAGAATTGAGTCTGCAACTCTAACAAAACATAGAGCCAGAAGTGAGCGACCGACTTACCGTGTTGTAAAGTATCCAAATAAAATCTCGTGATATTCTTCGTTGTAACTGCTGCTATAGTTGCTTTGGCAATACTCACCCTGAGACACAATTGCTCAGGGTGGTTTAGTTCCGAAAGGGTTTTAGTTCCGAAAGGGCTTTAGTTCCGCGTTGGAAATAGCGTGTTCGCGAGACTTACCGGAAGAGAGCTGTTAGATAGTTCATGTCCAAAAAGATGGGCTAAATTTTTTTGATTTTCATGATTTTGCCAATGGCGATGGTTTTGCCTTCATCTCGGAGAGTGAAGCGTCCGAGTTGGGGGTTATCTGGGAAGATTTCTAGAGCCTGTGTAGAGTCGAGTCGAATTCTGCAGGTAACGACTTGGCCGGCTTTGGCGAAGGCAGGTTTCCTTGTTTTTTTCTTGGAAGCTTTGTCCATAGTTTCTACGATGCTGACGATCTCACATTCTTCGCTCATGGTGTGAGCGTGGAAAATTGCTCTGTAGCCGGCAGTCATAAGTGGTTTGTGTTCGAGCATATCGACTAGGACCATTTGAACTTCGATGTATTCGGTAACGGGAATCGGATCGTTAATGGAGCATAGAACGCAGCCTTTCTTCAACACCTCTTCGTCCACTCCCGTGAGTCGCAGTTCGACATTCTCACCTCCCTTGGCGTAAGCAAATTCGGTTTCTTCACCGACTTTGACCCCGGTAATTTTTACCTTGATGTTGTTGGGCATGATCAATGCTGGTTGTTCTACGATAGCGACACCTCCTTCGACCTTCCCTACGGCTACGATGCCGTTATCTCTGTATCCCGCGAGAAGAGGGACACGGAGGGGTGCCTTATCAGACCGGGGGGGAATGGGGCATTGTTCAAGCAGTTCGAACAAACACAGTTCTTCCTTAGGCCACCAGGCGGCGCGAGCGTCATAGTTGGGCGATTCAGGGTCAGACACACGTGTGTTTAAATTCTGCGTGTTCAGCGCGCTAACTGGGATGAACTTGACATCTTTATTCACATTGAAACCGCAAGATTTTAGGAAAGGTGAGAAGGCATCCACAATTTGAGTATACCGCTCCTTACTCCAGTTCACCGATGGCTCGTCCATCTTGTTTACCGCTACAATGAGATAGTTTACACCCAGTGTCTTCGCCAACAACGCATGCTCCTGTGTCTGTCCGCCACGCTCAAAACCCGATTCGAACTCTCCCTTCCGGGCTGAAATGATCAAAACGCCAATGTCAGCCTGAGACGCGCCCGCCAACATTTCCGGAACAAATGATTTGTGTCCAGGTGCATCTAAAATAGTAAACCGACGGGTCTTGAACTCAAACCCTGCACGACCCACCTCCGTCGTGATACCCTTCTCACGCTCCTCCTCGTTCACATCCATCACGTATGCAAAGTACCATGACTCACGATTGTTGTCAATCGCCTCCTTCTCATACTTCTCCATAGTCCGCGCATCAACCTGACCCGTCAAACATAAAATGTTACCACACGTCGTTGACTTCCCCGCGTCCACATGACCAATAAACACGATATTTACATGCGGCCGAGAATCAGGCTCCGTCAAACCCTTCTTCTTCAATCTAAATAACACAACTCCAGCCACACCCTTCACCATGCACACATATCCCCTTCCCTTCCCTTCCCTTCCCTTTCATTTCACTTACTTGGCAATAATCGCGGGGTCAAACACCACATCCTCTTCGCACTCATCTGTGGCTCGAGCCGGCTGCGGTTCCGTCATTAAAAAATCTGGCTTTTTATTCGGGTACGGACGATGCTAATAGTGAACGTACACGATTCACGAACGTGGGCTTCTACAACAAATACGTCAGGGGCAATGTGATTAACACCATCTTCCAACCAGTGAGGTTCGGGGTGGTTGCTTACAGATATGGTGGTGTCATTCTTCATGAAGCGTCGTAGTGAGGCTTCGACGAGGGCGTGGTCACCATGCAGTTCTTTCAGCGCCATCTCCAGCGCAGCGTGTGTCAGTTCCAGTTTATTCTCGGTGTCGAAGGCATCGAAGAGGAACGAAGCTGCTGTGACCCTCTCTTTCTTCTTTTCGATGGTATCTGCGTAGGGTCGTGCATACTCGGTGATGATGGTATAGACCAGTTCCTCGAGCGACATTTGGTCCTGGACGCGTACGTGTTGTTCTTCCAGGTCGGGCAGTCTGCCTGTAGCGCTAAAGCCGAGCAAGTGCGCAGCAGTCGGGATCTGTTGTGCGTAGATGAACGGCTCCACCTCCTCTCCATGCGCCGGATGATGTGCAGAGTTGTTTCGAGACACAGACCCACTGCGGGAGAGAGAGCCGCTACGGGAGAGAGAGCCACTACGGGAGAGAGATCCGCGTTGTCGTCGTTTGGCGGCTATGGAGGCGAGGAATGCAAACACCTCTCGGAAGGCTCGTTGGTCTCTAGGACTTAGACTGTTGAACAAATCTTTTTTGCTCTTGCCTGCGTAGGACCTGGAGTCCAAAACAGTTTGCCAGAGTTGCTGGTCTTGCTTGACATGTTCAATTCGTTTTTTATCGCTGAGTTCATTGAGCAAGTGTCGGTCGCTGAGGTAGTCTGTTTTGGAAGTAATTGCAAACTCGCGACAAGTGTGTCGCCAGAGCTGCAGCGCGATTTGCTCGCAAAGTAGGAGCAGTGGAACTAACAAGTAACCTAAATACACCTTGTAGCCGTTCGGTAGGACCATCAGGACGAGACCCCATGTCTGCTCGCGGCTTCGTGACCGATTGGTGACGGACACCAAGATGGCGGCCGTGTACGCGGCGAGGGCGGCGAGTGTCAATTGAATGGCCCGCAAGAAGAACCTCGGCCGCCGAAACGGGAACAATGACTCACTCGGGTTCCGCAACCGGCCCAGAAAGTCCTTGGAAAGCAACGGCTGGCTGTCCATCGCGCTTTCCAACAGGGCCAAGTGTTCCCATGAAGGCTCGTCCAGCTCAGCTGCAGGCCCAGGCAGAACAGGCTGGACAGGTTGAGGCTGGACGCCAGGGGCGACTTTGGGTATGCATTTCCGCGTAGCGCGTTTCTGTATGTACCAAAGCAACCCGACAGCGATGACGAGGAACAGACCCAACAAGCACAAGGAAAACAAGAACTCCAAACCAGATGTTGTGAGCAACGGCCTCAACAGGCAAGTTACCGCTAGCAGTGCAATTAGCGACGACGGGGGCAACTCAATCGACTCAGCCATCTGCTCGGATACCACCTGCTCCGCGTAGTCCTCGAACGGCACCAAAGGTAGACTCTCGTCAGCCTTGTTCAAGAGAGAAGCCACTCCCGGACCTCCGCCATAAAATCGTAATTCCAAGAACTGCAACACGTTGTCGAACCTCTCAATCTCGTCCCCAGCAATCGTGTCCACAGGACGCTGCTTACGGGGCCAACGCAATAGTCCCGCCGTCAAAATCAGACACTGGACCACAAATGTCATCATCACCACAAACACGAAGATGTGAACAAACTCAAACACCTCCTTCAATTGCGTCGGAGGCGCTACCCGCTCCACTCCTTCGTCCTCGATCTCCTCCAGAGCAGCCTGTTCCGTTTGATTCTGCCCCACGAACTTATCATTCAACCGCTGCATCATGCCAGCTGAAAATAACCACGTCAACAAACCCTGTACACGCCCTGGCCACCTCGTCCGTTCAACAAACTTAGACACTTACTATTGATAACGAGAAACAGAGTAATCGTAATAAAGCCCAGCACCGCTAACTCTTTACATAGTGAGTCGATTAACAACTCTACAGCCAAATTCTTGCTTTTCGATCTAATCAAGACATTATGGTCACCACCCATGAGCTTACAGTCTCAAACAGGTGCGTATTGCGATCTCAAAGATGACGGCCGCCATAACTATCACAGTTAGTACACAGAGGCATGCTTGTACATCATTCTAAACGAATTGTAAGGTTACATTCTAGCCATCAAGTACCATCGATTATTTAGCACACACGTGTGCAGAACGATTTTTTCATAGCTGCGCTCTGTAACCTGGTCATCTATGGTGCGTATCTATGATTACTGGGAGCTGGGCGCGTATCTCGTCCGATTCGTGGCTTACGACCAGCCGAGTCGCTCATTTTGGGCAGCGTCCTCCGAATGGGATCCTCTTTCGAACACGGGTTGGTCTTGGGACGATTGATTCTGAGCGTTTCGATCCCGAGCGGATGTGTTTCCAGGGTGGTCTGGCGTTCTTTGCAGAGCGTAGGTATTTGTGTGGGAAATGAATTGACCGCGTGGTGTTAATTTCCCAGTAGATATGAAATGAGTTCAGTCGCTAGTACCCCGTCGCAGCTGTCAAATAATATAGAGGAAGATGGCGGCAGACTTCGGAGGAAGCCCTGGTGGTCTCGGCAGAAGCGGCGAGCGTCGATAATGGAGTCGCCGTTGTTGCAGCAGCGGACTTCGTCGCGTAAGTTCCAAGGCGGATTGTTTGATCACCACGGCGCTTCGCCACTGGGGCGCCGAGAGAGTGTGTTGTCCCGGTCGTGCATTCGGCCGAAGAGATTACGTCCTAAGCGGGAGTATGGTGTGAAGACGATCGGGCAAAAGGCGAGTTTTGTGTACCTAGTGAATCAGATTTTCGGCACAGGAGTGATTGCCATCCCGCGAGTTTTTGCGTCGTCCGGATGGATGCCATGCTTCATCGCTAACGTGTTTGTGGCCATGGCAGCCGGCTTGGGTACACTCATGACTCTGAGGTGCATGACGTTGGTCGAGGGCAACCGCAATTTTGAACGTCGTCTGGAGTACATGGGCTTAATGATGCGCTACCTACATACGCCCTATTACCGAGTGGTACAGTGGTTTTTCTACCTCTCTATCTTCGCCTCCAACATCGTCTCCATCATTGTCGTGGCTGAGGCTTTCGACAACATCATAGTTCGGATCTTCGGCTCCACTCCGGCGCTGACTCTCAAGCCCTGGCCTCTCGGCTTCTCCAACGTGTCCAACTTGTCGGTCATCTATGGTTCGCACGAAAACGACTCTAACTACCAAGTGACCTTAGCTATCACGCTGGGCTACCTCTGCACCGCCTTCCTCTGCATCCCGCTCTCCCTCCAAACTATGGACGAGAACATGAAGGTCCAATACTTCAGCTTCGCTGTGCTTATCTCCACGCTTCTCGGCCTCGCCCTGAACGGACTGCTGGAGGCCCGAGCCGCGTCCTTTACAGCAGTCTTTTGCACACTCTTCCTTCACCGAAACAAAATCCTATCTCCCCGCCCGACTTCTGCGTCTCCATTCCCGGGCCTCCCCGCGGCCACGGGTGTCCCCAAGGCCACGATAGTCCCCCAGATCAAGGGGGGGGCCGCGCACTATGGACCCAGGAACTGGATCGCTTCTCTACCTCGCCTACCAGAATCTCGACTACCAGGGCGTGTTGGAGGACCACGGCCAGTTGGGCGGTTCGTGCCACGGTTGAAAACAGTGCAGCCGGCGCGTCGGCAATTGTCTGCGGCGGGGATGCCTACGGCGTTTGGTAAGCGGACGTACGGCGAGTTGATGTCTACGTTCTTGGCGTCGTATTCCTGTGTCAATGTAATTCCATCCTGGGCGAACGAGATGGCATGGGACGTGAAGGTGAACGAGGTGGTGTTCCAAGGACTGCTCTTTTCGTGTGTGGTCTATTACCTCTTCGGGTTCTGCATGGTCTACGTCATGCCCGACATACAGTCGGACAACATCCTGCAGGAAGTGCTCGAAACAAGCAGCCACAAGTTCCTCGCCTCCATGCTCGTTTACGCCTTTGACCTCATTACCGTCGCACCCGGCATACTCGTCTACTGTATTACTACTCGCTACAATCTCATCAACGAAGAAGCCTGCAGCTATCGAGGCGCGGTCTTCTGGAGCTCCGTCTTCCCCTTCCTCGTCGCCTGGCTCGTCTGCGACAACTCACACTTCTCCGCCGTACTCAGCTGGTCCGCCCTCGTCTTCTCCCTCAACGTCAACTTCATTGCACCTCTCGTCATCTACCTCGTCGCCTGCTCTGTCAGCCAACCGTCACACAGAAACCCCGTCTGCCACACCACTAAACGAAACCGTAAGCCACCACCCCCTGTGACCACCTCCCACCACCCCCTGTGACCACCCGACCTATTCCGTTTAGGTTGCCAAGACTTTCTATTGCGCATTGCTGGCCACTTGTCGTCAGTGTGCGCGCGTCGCGACTTGTTGGAAATTCCGCACTTTTACGACGACGATGACGACGACCAGACGCTCGGGAGTTACGATGTACACGAAGAGGTTGGGTTCCGGCTCGGTGAGGACCGGTCGTCCGCGGACCATCCTTCTGAACACTTCTCGGTCGTGTCTTCGGTCGGGCCGCTTTTGGCGGTGGTGGAAGTGGTTGACGAAAAGGCGGACAACTTCTTCCTGCCGGCCAGCAGCGTCCAGACCATCGGCAAGGTCATGCCAACCGACCTAGTTAGGCAGCCACGCCCTCTGTCGAGTAGGGTAATCCACAGCGTTCTGCTGCCGTCTGCCGCCACGGTCCCCTCAGTCCCCTTGGTTCCTTCGGTCCCTTCGGTCCCCTCGGTCCCCTCAGTCCCCTCCGTCCCCTCAGTCCTCTCCGTCCCCTCGGTCCCCTCGGTCACTTCGATTGGCGATCCATCGCGGGCCGTGGGGACAACGATTGGACAGCCGCTGCAACCGATTCTAGTCACCACGCCCTGCAACCGGAGTTCGGTGGACGTTGCGGACCCGGTCAGGTCTTCGTTAGACTTGCCGAGTGTGTCTGGCAGCCTTTCCGCCTTGCCCGGACTCGTGGATGTTTTCGAGACCGAAGCGTGGGACAAACCGACCGAGCTGAGACGTATTCTCCACCTGCCTGCGGTACGGTCAGGAAGACAGGGGCCCGAGGGAGTCGTGTCACCCGAAGGATGGCCCGGTGGAGAAATGACGCCCGGCGGAGTGGTTGAAGACGGAGGAGTGAAGAGCGTGCATATCGCGGTTCAGAGGAGTGCAACCAGCTCCAGGAAAAAGAAGAGGCCGCGGCCACAAGAGCCTCACGCGGCCTGGCCCTTCAAGTTCCCGCGCTGGTCGGAGTACGACACAGTGGGAATTCGGAGACGCGCCTTGCTGCGACCCAAGATTAGAACAAAGCCTCTGCACGCAACCGCTTTGGCGGTACGAATGAGACTGGAAGGGGCCTTGTCGCCTGGGGGCGATGGCGGCTGGCTGCCCCGGAGTTCACGGCCGGCACAGACTCGACGGCGGTATCGGACTACCAGTTACACACGGTCCGCAGGAGCGCTAAGCATGTACCGGAAACCGCTGTTGGAATTCGACGACGAAGAGCCCCCCACCTACAAGTCTTTCTACGATAACAAGTCTTACTATGACCACAAGTCGCTCTATGCCCGCAAGTCCTTCTACGACGAAAAGTCTTTCTATGACCAAAAATCCTGTTATGACCAGAAATCTTACTATGACGGCCTCATGCGGCAGGATGATGGCTACCTGCCGCAGGAATCGTTCTTCTCGTCCTCCAATTCCTTCCAGGTGTCAACAGTGATTGTGCCAAATTCTCCCCTGACGGACTCTGCCCCTCTGGCACCGACCCCATCCAACGGCAGCGGTAGAACCCCCGCAGCGGCCTCTTGGACGTTTGGCTATTTCGGCCGCGGCCAGGAGCCCTCCGGCCGCGACCAGGGGACGACTTCTGGCCAGAGCCGGGTACTCGCCTTAGCTCCACGGTCCGGACCCGGCCCCAAGCGGGTCTCGGCCGACGGCCACCCATCGAACAAACGTTCGAACAGCGGATCCTCGCTCGACGGCTTCCCAGAGGCTGCCAGCGGCTTGCGAGAAGGGCCCTCCTCCTTGGAGATCCCACAGGCTTGCCTCGGCGCATCGGACACCTCGTTCTGCGTCTCCGTGATCGACTCTGATTCCACTGACCGACAGTGGCTGGTAAGACCCAACTATAAGGCGAGTCAATCGGAGTCGAATCGACCGGAGTCGAATCGACTGGAGTTGAACCGACTGGAATCGAACCGACTGGAATCGATCCAGTCGGGGTCAAACCGATCAGGGTCGAACCGACTGATGTCCATCCAACAGGAATCAAATGGCGACTCGCGTGGAGCGGCGTTGAACGGAGCCGGGGCCGGCGGGGTAGCGGTGCCGGCTGGGGCGGAGTTGCCACCTCAAAGCGGAGAGTTGCCGTTCAAGAGCGCGCTGAGTAGCGGGTCTCCGCTGTGCGACTCGCAGAGTTTCTGTTTCACGGCGTCGCTGAGCCGGCTCGATGAGCCGAACCGGCGAGAGGAGTCGAACCAGAGAGAGGAGTCGAGCCGAAGAGAGGAGTCGAACCAGAGAGAGGAGTCGAGCCGAAGAGAGGAGTCGAGCCGAAGAGAGGAGTCGAGCCGGAGGGAAGGGGTGGCGATTGTGATTACGTCGCCGCTGAGTCCGACTCCTCCTCCTACGTCGCGCGGGCACCCATTCCCAGGGAAGGCGCAGCCGAACCGGTTGGTGGGAAGCAGCGTGTCCAGCTCGTCAGAGGCAAGTGGCAGCCCCGCCGCAGGCGTTCGTCCGGTAGCTGGAAGCCCAGCGGCCGGCAGTCCAGCGGCTGGGAGTTCGGCAGCAGGGGTGAAGTCGGACTCCGAGTCGTCGCTCCAAAGGAGCATAGGTGGATCACGGAAGATGAGCCTGACGCTGGACTACAGCAAGTTGCAGGGACCGTCGCCTATTAGTGTGCAAACACCGTCGCCGTGTTCTTCACGTTTCGAACTGGCTTTTGGGGCGGTACCTCTTGCAGAGCTCAGTGGCAAAAAGTGGTTCTCGAAGAGGGCAGCTTCAGTTACGCGGCATGCTCTCGCCCGGACCCCGATGGTCCTCAACCGACCTGGGACTCATCGCTCGGCTCAGGACGCCGCACTTGCCGTTGCCCGGTCGAGTCTGAGCCGCCGTGTAGGGCGCTGTACGTCTGAGGCCCTGCAGTCTTCTAACTGTCTAGTCGAGAGCTCCTCAAGCACCACCGAACAAGACGAGGAGGACGTCTCCTTCACCGAAATCGTCAGCAACGCTGAAGACGCCTATGCGCAGGACGAAGACCTCTTCGGAGATCTCGAAGAGATCCGGATACGCGTCTTCCCGCGGGGACTCCTGAGACGGAACCACGTGGAGTTTACTGTGGCGTTCCTGCTCTCCCTCATGGTTTGCTGCCTTATCACCACTCTGGACAAACTCATCGGCCTCATCAGATAGCCAACGCCGCTTGAAATCGAACCCGCGCGGTGCACACACGGATCGCAAAACGACGGGACATCATTTTTTTAGTACACCCTTGTGCAGACCATGTGCCACCCACTGGATACTGCCCACTGGATCCACCGAACCCCACCTATGTGTTACCACTTTATGCCTCTCCTGCGACAGAGCGGATGTTCAACCACGTTAACCGGACCGACGCGTTTACTGAGTATAAACCAGTGATGCCATAGAAACGTCACGTCTGGTCTACACCAGTGGCGCGATGTACGAATCCGGCTTGACAGTGCCTTGCCTTGCCTTGCTTTGGGCGGATAGTTTTGGAATTCGTCTTTGCGCGCCGAGGCCAAAAAAAAAAAAAATGGTCAACAGCTGTATTGTGAAAG